ATGGGCAAGGTTCATTTATGTTCGCCAATTGATGGAACAGTGAGAAAGTTTCCCATAGCAAAGATAAAGGTGGACTTTCAATACTGTGTGGGAGACCTTGAGGCCATGTGTGTGAAGGTACCCATCTATGACTTGGTGATTGGAAATATACCAGGCAGTAGAAGTTTGGAAGAACCAGACAGAAAAAAGACTGATGAAGAATCTTCAATCACCACTACAGTTCAAGAAAAGAAAAGCAAGCGAGACATAAGGCCTCTGCATGTCTCGAAAGATGACACCCAGAATGTAGATTTACAGGAATTGAAAGAAGCACAGAAGAAAGACCCTTCATTGCAAAAACTTTGGGACAGTGCTCGTGAGAAAGTCGAACACAAGACAAAGGGGAAGGGACTTACAGAATAGAGGATTGTAAGGGAGATCTGTACCAGATCTATCAAGGCATTTATGCTGGAGAAGCTAAGCAGATCATAGTACCAACTGAATAGCAGATTCACGTGATGAAGCTGGCTCATGAGGCGATTGTGGGAGGACACCTAGGAGCAAATAAAATGGCAGTCAGAATTACCAGAAACTTCCATTGGCCAGGGGTCATTGGAGATGTGACCCAATTCTGCAGATCATGTGACATCTACCAAAATACAATAACTAGAGGGAGGGTATTCAATGTGCCATTGGGTAAAGTGCCTCTCATAGAAGAGCTATTAAGCAAAGTAGCTGTGGACTTGATTGGACCACTAGCACATGTTTCTGACAAGGGAAACTGGTATGTTGTGACAATAGTCGACTATCGAACTGCTATCCAGAAGCGATAGCACTGCCATAGATAGAGACTGAGAGATTAGCAGAAGCCCTCATGGAAGTGTTCAGCAGAGCAGGCTTTTCAAAGGAATTCCTGAGTGTCAAAAAACCCAGTTTACTTGAGAATGGATGTCAGGGGTGTGCAGACTCATCAGCACTGGAACCCATTTTACTTCAGAACTGATGCAAAGAGGTGTGCAGATTCATCAGCACTAGGCAACTATTTACCACCCCATACAAACCCTGATGTAATGGACTTTGTGATAGAGCCAATGGAGTCTTTAACGAGCTTGCTTAAGAAGATGTACCAAGAGAGACCACATGACTGGTGCAGATACCTGCAGGTAGTATTATTTGCAACCGAGAGGTCACATAAGCAAGTACAGGTTATTCACCCTTCTAGTTGCTGTACAGAAGAACAATATGATGTCTGATGCAGATATTGAAAGAGCTGTGAACTGGAGAAGAAGAATCAGAAGAAAGGAACACATAACAGTATGTGATAGACCTCAGAAACCGATTGAAGAAGACCTGTCAACTTGCTCAAGAGATCTTATATGCATCTCAAGGCAGTAAGAAGCCCAAGGATCGACATTTCAAGGTCGGACAGAAAGTTCTGCTACATACAGACAACAACAAACTCACCCTGCAGTGGAAAGGAGCTTTTGAAGTACAGTAACTGGTCAACAGAATGGACTATAAAGTGAAAGTGGACAGACCTACCACGCCAGTCCGTTGAAGAAGTACTTTGAGTGGGAAGAAGACCTAATGGGTGCAGATATGAGGCACAGGTGGACATGGCAAGTGTAGCTGTCATAGATGTAGAACTATAAGACAGTGACTCTGTTATAGAAGATGAAGACCTACAAGAATTAAAACCACTGGGTAAAGATGAGACATACAAAGACGTAAACATCACTGAAGAACTGACTGTAATGCAGAAAAAAAGAGCTACAAGATTTACTGTGCCAATATGCAGATCTCTTTACAGATAGACCAGACAAAGCAGACCTTATGCAACACAAGATCGAGACCATGAACAGGGATCCAGTCAAGTTGAACCCTATCAGATGTCCTATGTGATGAGAGACCTGATCAAGCAGGAAGTTGGGGCAATGTTAGAAGCTGGAATCATCAAGTCTTCAAATTCAGCCTACTATTCACCAGTGATAATCGTGAAGAAGAGGGGTGACTCAACAAACTTCTATATAGACTTCTTGAAGTTGAACCTCGTGATGAAGTTCGACTTCGAACCTAAAGGCAACCCAGAGACTGTCATGCCGAAACTAGACGGGGCCAAGTTATTTTCCAAGATCTACCTCAGTAAAGTTTATTAACAAATTCTGATGGAGAAAGGTCGCCTGAAGAAACTTAGAGAGCTGTTCAGGCGAGGAAGGGCAGAAGATCTGACCATCAGACCATATAAGTGCTGCATTGGCTATTCTGTGTTGGACACAAGGCGGGCAACCAACAAATTGCCATGGAAGAAGAGAAGCTAACCTGCATACAAGATGCATCAGCTCAAACGACCAATCAGCAAACCAGATCCTTCCTGGTGTTAGTGGGATACTATAGGACATTCATCCCAAACTTTGCTGAAGTTTGTGCATCACTGACTGATCTGACCAAGAAAAGCCTACCCACAAAGTGAAGTAGGAACAACCACAGCAGATTGAATTCCAGTAGTTAAATACATGTTGGGAAGTTATCAATCCTTAAATCTTTCTTGTCTGCTATCTTACAAAGAAACAAATCAACCACTTTACACTGGTTGCCACGCCATGCTTGATATATTACTCGTCTATTTTTAAGTGTATTTTTGTGACCCAAGGAAATAGAAGGGAAGCCCCAGATATATATTTGCTCTGTGTCACCCGATTTTTGATTAATTTCAGCGATTTGTCTTTTTGATGAAATACGAGTTTTTCAACAAATGTTTCAGGATCAATACGATGATGAGTTGCTTCGAAAATAGCTGCCATATCCTAAGTGATACAAATACTGAATTGAAATTTACTCTTAGAGATGTACTGTAATTTGTTTTTAAATCTTCTTCACCCTTGACCTTGTCAGTCTTAAATATTGTAAATTTGAATGTTCTCGTAGAAGTTGATAGAGTACTATATATTAGTGAAGTAGGTAAATCAGCTAACTCATACATAAAATTTTCTCAGAATGGAAACAAAACAATAAAACATGACCACTCTCACCATGTGATGTTGTCGCAGTTAAAATGGTTGCTGTATTTCACCCTTCTCTAACTTGGCAGAGTATATCTTTATTTAGGAATGTTCAAAGGCAGTTCAATCTAGGGAATCTAGGGCATTCCCCCCAGAGAAATATTATAATAATATAATTTACAGTGACTATGTAAATCAAGTATGTAGAAGTGGGGGAGCTACTGCACTGCCGATTCCGACGCCTATGTAAAATATACCAAATCACAATTTTAGGATGAAACTGTTGTAATTACCCATCAACAGTAATTATCAGTATTTATTAAGTTCATTGATTTGATAGTAGTTATAGAAGTTCTATGAATAGATCTCATTTTGTAATCATATTACTTAGTAACTACGTAGCTATTTCTATGAACATATCAAATTTTCTAGTTATATTATACGGTGATTAAGTAAATAAAATAATCGCAAAAGTATTTATAAACTATTCATTTAATGAAGTGAAATTTTAATGTTTTGAAATATTCTTACAATGTTAAAAAGGGCCATGTTCATGATTGTTTATGTGTATATTAAGGTGTATGATAATCCGTAAATATTCCTGGACATGCCATTTTGGGCATCATTATTACGAGCCGTAAAAATATGTCGATGCAAAATATTGGACTTCCGATAATTTCCAACATTCTTACTACATTAAAAATGGCTGTGTCCAGAACTGTTTGATGTGTGTTAATATGTATGATGATTTTTCTGATAATCCATAAGGGATCCTGGATATGGCCGTTTTTGGTATCATTATGAGCTCTCAAGTATGCCGATGCAAAATAACGAGCTTCTGATGTTTCCAAATATTTCTAGTAGATTAAAAATTGCCGTGTCCAGTATAATTTTTATGCATTCATTAAAGTTTTAGATGAAAATTCTGAAAATTGTTCAGTTCCCCTGGATATGGTCACTTTCGGGATCATGAAGTGTATTTGAAAATGTGATAAAGGTGTACTTGGATTTTTCTGAAATAGGTTTTTTGTAATAAATGTAGGATTTTCGTTTTTTCTAGCTTTATTGCATTAAAATCGTTATTTTTTGTGGGGATGTAAGTACACATTTGATGAGAAAAGTATATTGGTCGTTAATATAACACGTCAGGCACGTTACTAGCACACGCAGCTCTTTTGAAACTCTTTACGCAGAATAGTCCGGTTAGGGTTTTACCCTGTGCTCAAAATTACATGTGAACAAGTCTCGATGGTCGTACAATGCACGGCATTGTAGAAAATATTTGAAATGTTAAATTTCTAAAAACAAATACGATATTATAGTCATTATACCAAGTTTTTCATACAGATAAATTAAACGTATAAAATGTAATTACAATATTATAGCCATTGTATTTTTATATTTCATTTAGACTGAGAAATTGTTTTAAAAATAAAGAATTTGATTTTCTTTCGATTAAATAAGTTGCGTGGTTATAAAGATCGAATATAAACCAAATCTATGGTATGACAGGTAATACTAAAAGTCTGTTTCGGTTAATAGTTCCAGTCCCGCATCTAAAAGTAGGTCTTTCGATTCCGGTTCCAATCTATTTTCTTTTGCTTCGGACTTACTTCTTTTTAAACGGTTTTCCATAGTTAATGAGAAAGAAAGAATTGTTTTTCTTTTTAGAAAAATATCAAAGAGTTCAAATCCTAAGTTTAATTTGACTTAAAAATCAAAGATAAAAAATCTTGAAAAAATTAAATCAGCAAACGTCCCAGTGCAAAAAAATGTGTGCCAAGTATAAAGCCTGAAACGAGACCGATTTTTAAGTTAGTTCTAGACTGACCCTCGGTGGGACAGCGGTAAGTCTTCATATTTACTACGTTAAAATCATGGGTTTGATTCCCTATGTGGCTTTGCTGTAAAACACCCATACACTTCTAGACTTTCTTATTTTTTTATACATGTAAAATATTTTAGAGAACGAAAATAATAGATACAGTGACGCCTGGTGAGCTTTAAAGTCTTAGCTATATCTGTAACTTGTATCGTAAGAAGACGAAGTTCTGCCAAGTTGAGGATGAGACAGCATAAAATATAATGGAAAATATATATAATTCGTTATCTGTAAGTTGCAGAACTCCTAAGACATGTGAAGTTTGTTTCAAATTGGAATATAAATACAAATGTCCAACGTGCTTAAAGAAGTAGTAAGTTGATGGTTTGAACTTTGGTAATAAATTTACTCTAGTCCAATGTGCCGGGAAATCCTATTCCCCGTCTAAATTCCAACGCATCGTATTAATATTAATTTTATTGCCCAGTTTCATAATAATAATTAACATAGTATAACGTTCAGAAACAACATCTATGCTGTCCCATACTTTAAACTAAATTAAAACTATTAAATAAAAACCTCAAAGCCAATCCTTATCTTTCCTATAGTTATCAAGCTTTCTCTTAAGTTAAACTCGAACTTTATAAAGTTAAATTTACTGCCTCCACAACATCCGTAGGCAACCCGTTCCAAAAGCCAAACAACCAGTTAGTGTTACTGTTAGACAAATAAAGCTGTCCTAGCTGATGATGACTCCTACCCATCCAAAATTTATATTTGTGTCCCCTATTCCTACCATTCTCATCATGAAAAAATATAATGCATCAACACAATCACTATCTATTAGTTCCTTTAACAATCTTAAATATCTATTGGACAGATCCTCTCTAACTTCGTTTTTCAAAAGAAAGCAATTTAAAAAATCTTAACCTCTTCTCCTCCATCCCAGGCACCATTCTACAGTATTATTTCTAGTAACCCTCCTCTGATCCCTTCCAATTATTCAATGCCCCTCCTATGATAAGGAACCCAAGACTGAACATAAATTCCAAATTTGCCCTACCACTAGCAACAGCACACTGCTTGGATGTATTAAAAGACTGATCTGATTGATCAACCACTACACCAAGATCCCTTTCTTTCAGTTTCATAATTCTGTTAAGGTTATTCCCATCCACATTATACTTATAATTCAAATTATGATAATCCATATGCATTATCTTGCATTTATTATAATTAAAACCCATTTGCCATTTATTCGACCAACTCACTAAGTGATGTAAATCCTTTTATAAAGCAGCAGCATCCATGGCCAGCAATCTGCTCATCCTTACATACTAACCTAAGCCTAGCATTTAGTGACCTACCTATAACTTCATCACCAGAGTTAATTCTGAGCAGTATCCCTGACAAAATTAAGTTACGGCCTTTTTCTTTAAATGCCGTTATCAACCCTTGTACTTATTAATTAAATGTTAAGTTACAAATCTTAATGCAATATTTTTATATGAATTTCCTTCTAAACATTCTGTTATATAGAATTAAATAAATGAGCTGGTAAATTCATTTTGTTTTCAATAAATAATCAAATGTTAAAATACATTTATAATTATAATTGTTTCTGTTACTGTCAGTGCTATTATTACTTACTATTAGTATAAATCCTTTGTTCAGATAGGCTTAGAAATAACAAATTTGATAAATAATAAAGAGAAGTAGGCTGTTTATATTACATGAAATACAACTTATGAAATATGTTTGTTGAAAATAGAAACTAATGAAATTAGCAAAAATAGAGGAGGAGGAGTATTTTTATATGTAAAATGTGATTTACATCCTGTTGAAGTTAAGGATATCAAAGATTATTGTAAGTCCAACCATGAGAGAGAAAGAGTTTGGGTAGCTATTCAAGATGGTTTTCTTCATCAGTTGGTCAAAGAACCTACTAGAAACAATGTAATTTTAGATTTATTGTTAACTTCTAATATACAAATGATTGAGAGGGTGGAAATTGGAGAACATCTGGGTGCAAGTGGTTGGCTAACAAAAAGTATAAGAGATAAAATTAAAACAAAAGCATCATAAATTTAAGAAATTTAAATTGACTGTAGATGATGGGAAATTTTA